TGCTGTGTGCGCCCGTCCACTCGGCGGGGTCGCAGCTGCCTCTGGAAGGCACCGAGAGGTACAATAGTCGCGCAAATGGTCAAATCAAGGTTTTGTAACGCGAGCTGTGCCACAGTGAAATGGAACTACCTAGGTAGCCCTTGAGTTATGCCGGGACGAGAGCGCCCCCGCGCCTGCCCCGTCTCGCAGCGAGTCAAGTCAAGTCAAGCCAATACGAATGAACGAAAATCACAAAAATCATTTCTGCGCCACAGGCGTCAACGCTACTCACATTCCACATCGTCCACGTCTCACGACGAGTTCAGCTCTGTACACTACATGTACACTACCATGCAGATCGAGCGCCCTCTCCAGCCAGACGACACGCTCCCCGCAGGCGTGCGGCCCCGCCAGCGAGCTGAGGACGGACTGCGTGCAACTCTCAGTCAGGCAGCGGCAGGACGCTCCCGATCAGGGCGCGCACTCGATCGCCTTGTAGGGCCCAAACTCGCAAAAGCGGCAGAGTGTCTTGCCGCCCGCGTTGCAACCCAGCCCCCCGGCCGCGCAGCCCGGGTCGTAGAAGCACGTCTCGAAGATGTTGCCAGTGCAGAGCCCCGCCTTGCAGGAAGCTCCCGGGGTGGATGGCGGCGGTGGCGACGGCGACGCGGAAGGAGGTGGACCATTGCGATTTCCTGCGAAGACGTAGAACTTGCACACCGTCAGCCCCGCCGCAGACGGCCGGTTGAGGTAGATGTAGCGCCCCAACGCGTTGATCTCCACCTCCAACATCACGTTCGACAACACGCTCACGTCTGACTTCACCAGCGCGTTGCCCGTGTACGTCTCCGCCGTCGAGCCGAGATAGATGTCGACGTCCGTCAGCCGCTCCGCGCAGCAGTCGTTGCGGTTCTGCAGCCGCACGTAGCGCACATACACCTCGCTCCCGAGGTCGACGCCCCACCATTGGCTTGTGTACTGGCCGCACTCGGCCCACGGCCGTCCCGTCGTGCTGTCGGCGTATGACAGGTCGCTCACGGGCGCCTGCTTGTCGAACAAGCTCGAGTCCTGGTACGTGGTGGCGGCGCGGAGGTCGAGCAGCTGCACGTCAGGCGGCGGCGGCGACGGCGAGGCGGACGGCGGCGGCGGAGAGGGCGAGGCGGACGGCGGCGGCGCAGGCAGGGCGGAGGGAGGCGGCGGCAGAGGCGGCGGCGGCGACGGCGAGGCGGACGGCGGCGGGGAGGGAGAGGCGGAGGGAGGCGGTGGCGACGGCGACGCGGAAGGAGGTGGCGGGGAGGGAGAGGCGGAGGGAGGCGGCGAGGGCGACGCGGACGGAGGCGGCGGCGACGGCGACGCGGAGGGCGGCGGCGGCGAGGGCGAGGCCGACGGAGGCGGCGGCGACGGCGACGCGGAGGGAGGCGGTGGCGACGGCGACGCGGAAGGAGGTGGACCATTGCGATTTCCTGCGAAGACGTAGAACTTGCACACCGTCAGCCCCGCCGCAGACGGCCGGTTGAGGTAGATGTAGCGCCCCAACGCGTTGATCTCCACCTCCAACATCACGTTCGACAACACGCTCACGTCTGACTTCACCAGCGCGTTGCCCGTGTACGTCTCCGCCGTCGAGCCGAGATAGATGTCGACGTCCGTCAGCCGCTCCGCGCAGCAGTCGTTGCGGTTCTGCAGCCGCACGTAACGCACATACACCTCGCTCCCGAGGTCGACGCCCCACCATTGGCTTGTGTACTGGCCGCACTCGGCCCACGGCCGTCCCGTCGTGCTGTCGGCGTATGACAGGTCGCTCACGGGCGCCTGCTTGTCGAACAAGCTCGAGTCCTGGTACGTGGTGGCGGCGCGGAGGTCGAGCAGCTGCACGTCAGGCGGCGGCGGCGACGGCGAGGCCGACGGCGGCGGCGGAGAGGGCGAGGCGGACGGCGGCGGCGCAGGCAGGGCGGAGGGAGGCGGCGGCAGAGGCGGCGGCGGCGACGGCGAGGCGGACGGCGGCGGGGAGGGAGAGGCGGAGGGAGGCGGTGGCGACGGCGACGCGGATGGCGGCGGCGGCGACGGCGAGGCCGACGGAGGCGGCGGGGACGGCGACGCGGAGGGAGGCGGTGGCGACGGCGACGCCGAGGGAGGCGGTGGCGGTGGCAGTGAGGGTGGCGGCAGGGATGGCAACGCGGACAGATCGAGGGCAGCCAGCGTGCGCTGCCGGCGGGTCGTGCTGAAATCGAGAGTGAAAGAAGAGGCGGTTATCGACGCCGAAGGCGGCGGTGGTGAGGGTGGTGGCGACGGTGGAGACGGCGAGGGCGAGGCGGAGGGAGGTGGCGGCGAGAACGAGGCGGAGGGAGGCGGCGAGGGCGGCTTCGGCGTCGGCAGCGGCAGACCCGGAGGAAGGGGGTCACCTTTGTCGACGAGCGGCGCAGAGGGCGGTGGCGATGTTGGAGGCGAGACTGGCAGTGGGCGAGGGGGCAGCGAGGAAGTTTGCGAGGGCGCCCTGCTGGCGGGGAGCGGCGACGGCGAGGGAGGCACCAGCGGTGGCGTCGGCACGCTCTCACTGTTCACGCTCACCCGTCGCGGCAGGTGGCGCATCGTGTGCGGCGGAGCGAAGGGGAGTCGGAGCGGCGCGTCCTCCTCCCCAGTCGGCTCCTGCAGAGCCCGCGATCCCAGCGGTGGGCTCGAATCACGAGCCGGCATGTCCGCCCGAGTGCAAAAGCGCCAGTCGCGAGCCTCTGGAAGATACT